AGCAGGGGCACAAGTTCCAGAGGGCCACTCAGATCCCCTGTCTCCACACAGAGGGGCTTCGAGGCGGGGGGGGTTCCGGGGGCCCAAGTGCAGGACAAGGGCCAACTGAGCAGATCTGGGGTGCCATTGAGCTGATGGCCAGTGAGGATGGAGGTAACAGGGCCCCACCTGGCAGGAGCCTTGGAAGCTGGGTGGTGTGGAGGTGTGGGAGTGTCTGAAATCAACCTGCACCCCTCCTCCTCCCCCTCCCTCCCTCCTATTCCTGCCCCTCCCCTCCCCATTCCTGCCTCTCCTTTCCCCATCCTCCTCTCCCATTTCCCTCCCACTTTTTCTTCTCTTCCCCCTTTCCTCGTCCCCTTCCCCCCCCCCCATCATCCTCCCCGAAGCAGCAGCTTGGTGCCTGTGATGCTCCAGTCCTGCTTCTCAGTGCCCCCAGGCTCATTTCTTGGGTGCAGGAGGGGCCAGGCCCCCTGACAGGCCTGAGCGGTTTGGAGCTGGGAGGCCAAGGCCAGGGGCTACTAAGGAAGCTGCTCAGTGGGCCCTGCCCTGATCCCCCCAACCTCATTTCCTGGTGTGCGGGCTTCCCAAGAGCTTCCAGAGCTCTGCTGTGGCAGAGGCAAACACAGCAGGGTGCCTCTTGCGCCCCACAGCTCCAACCCTGTGCCCCAGCCTGCACCTGTCGTGTGCCCTTGCTGGGGACAGAGGACAGAGGCAGCAGACCTGCTGGGAGCCGGGTCTGAGGGGTTGCAGGCTGGAAAGCCAAGGGGCGGCCCCTCCGGGTTCACTGGCTCCAGGTCTCCAGCGTGGTTGGGGGGTGGGGGGGGGGGGCGGGGGCGGGGCAGGTGCAGCAAAGCTGGTGTCTCCAGGGTCCTGGGGCCCACCCCAGCCCCGCACACCCGTCCAGGTCCAGGTCCGGGTCCTCCCCAAAGCCCACGCGGGTAGGGTGGGGGAAGAATGGTGAAAACATGCTCAGAGTAGAGCCTAACAAAAGGGCAGGGCTGTCGCCCCCAACGGCTGCACACACCTCCAAGGGTGGCCTCGATGAGTCTCTGCTCAAGACGAACCCAGCAGGGCCCGAGTGCAGCCCAGCTCGGCTGCCCGGCACCCACAGGAGTCAAGCAAAGATGAGGCACAGACAGGGGGCAGCTTGGTGCCCCCCTTCCCCTCTGGTACAGTTGGGGGAACAGGCAGAGCCCCTGAAGGTCCTAGGGAGTGCAGCGGGGACTGCAGGTAGTCGCTGAGGGAAGGTGGAGTGACCTTCCCGCCCTCCAGCGACCTTTGGAAAGCGAGCCGGCTGTATTTCCCTTGCAAAATCCATTCAAAGCTGCAGAGGCCTGCTGGCTCCTCCCCAAGCGACCCTGCTGCCCGCTCCCTGCCCCTCCTCTTACAAGGGGCTGCCCACCAGGGGCGGGCCAGGCCCCTGCGGGTTCCCGGCACCTGAGGCCCCGCCCCCGCCTGCCCCAGCCCCAGCAGGGGAGGGGCTGGAGCAGGTATAAATTCTGCTGAGCCCAGCAACCAGCCACTGCGCGCCAAACTGCCCTTCCCCAGTGGAGGGAACGGGCCTCTGGAGGAAGGCTGGACGAGGGCTGGGGGCCAGGACCTGGGGCGAACAGGTGTGAGGGGACCAGAGGAGGTACCCCGGTGCCAGGTATGTGCTGGGGTTGGGGGGCAGGTAGGAGCCAGAACTCTGGTGCAGGCTTGGCGGCACCGTGGCACCTGGGTGCTCTCCTCTGCCTGGGCAGACACCGGGGCTGTGCTGGGTGGTCGCCTTTGTATTGGAGTCCCAGCACAGGAGCAGTGCGACTCCCTCTTGGGCCCCAAGAGGTGCAGGGCAGTCCCCTGTCTCCCTAGGACTCCCTCCTCCCTGTCCCTTCGGGTGCAGGAATGTGGAGCGGCAGCGGGGGCGGGGGAGGGGTACTGACAAGCCAGGAGCTGGGCTGGCCCGTTGAGGGGGCTCATCACTGCTTCCCACCCTCATTCCAGCGCCCAGTGCTGCTTCCCTAGGGCAGAGGCCCCTGGCCCACACCTGCCTGTCCCTCCCCTGGTCCTGTGACAACTGGCAGCTCTGCCCTCCTAAGGGATGGTGGGGACCCCTTGGGGTATCTCTTGGAAGGCAGCCAGCCAGTGAAGTCTCTGGCCACACCCTGCCTGCCTCTGGTCTTTGGGCTGGTCTGGTCTGGGAGCGTAGAAGTGGCCTGGCTCTCATGGGCACCCCACTTCCTCCCCCAGGTGCCAGGCTGCTAGCCTGTATCTAGGAGCCTCTGCTAGGGCCCTCACACCTCCAGTGCCACTGCAGGACCCCAACTCTGTATGGGCAGGGCTGGAGCTTCACCCTAGTCCAAGGTCACTGGCGGCTGGGCAGGCCTCCTGCCCCTACAAAGCTCCACATTGCTGCCTAGACCTGGCCCACCTGCCCCCCCAAACACCCTCACACTGGGGCAAGGGCTGAGGGGTCCCATGATCCCCACGATCGTCCCTGTTGGACACGAGTCAGCTCTGACAACCCCCCCGCTCCCCCTTTCCCCACACAGAGTTTCAGGATGGGGCTCATGCCATGGCAGGAAGAACCTATAACCCCTGGTCCAGGTGACCCAATTGCACCATCCACATGCAGCTGCCACATAACACGAGGAAGGGCTGAGAGCTGGTGCCTGGGGAAGGTGGGGCAGGCCTGCACTCCAGCGCCAGAGTGTGGGATCCCGCTGTGAGCATGCTGAGCACCCCCGCCTCCAGTGCAGCATGATTCTAGTGCCCTCATTGACCACCCCTCTCTCAGCGGCCGTGTGTGGTGGTGGGGGGAGTCACGAGGCCTCATCTGCCATGAGGCCACAGAGGCTGGGTGGGAAGGACTGTTCCCCATGTGTGGGCCCTGCTCAGAGGAAACCCTGGAGCTCTGGGCAGGACCCAGGCGGCCCAGGAGGTGAGCCCCACCTGCTCTCGGGCTGTTTCCTGGGCTATGTGCCAGGCCACAGCATTCCATAGGGAGCGGCAGATACCAAGGCTGAGGCTGGGGCGTCTTGGGGTCCTCAGCTGACCCTGCCCTGGAGCATCTCTGCACTGTCCCTAGAGGGCTCACACACACACACACACACATACACACACACACACACACACACACACACACACACACACACATGGCCCTCTGCAGCCTGGGATGCTCAGCAGAGCTCACCCAGGGGCCCAGACTCCCTGGGGGCCTGGTCCCCCTGTGCACTCTCCTCCAGCCCACCCGGGTGCCAGCCGGGCTCTCACGGGGGCCTCTGGGGAGGTCCCACATCTGTTCCAGAGGGTGTTAGCAGGCACCACTCAGTGGTGAGGGCTCACAGTGGCCCTCAATGGAGCCCAGGGCCTGAGCCCCGTAGCACCGAAGAGGGGACCTGGTTGAGATGATTCTTGAAGAGCCTGAATGCCAGTCTGGCCAGTGGCACTGCTGGGGGCCTGGGCGTGCAGCAGGGCACAAGCCTGAGTCCACACTTACTGGGTAGGTTGTGAGGCATGGGGAGAGAACATAGGAGCCAGGGGAGCTGGGATGTATGTGGGTGCAGTGCAGTGTTGGCCAGGAGCAGGGTGCAGGAGGAAACACAGATTCCTGACTTGGGACCAGACTGCCCCGGCCCTGGGACCCACCAGGCCACTGCCAGCTCCCGCAGCCCCCAACTCCAACTCCAGTTAAGCCTTGCCCATGGGTGCTGGGACTGGGACTTTATGTCTGGGACACGTTAGAACCATCAAAGCAGGGCACGGACTGAGAACAGCAGATGTGAGCAGGTGGGCAGGGACACTGGGTGTGAACAGGTGTGAGCAGGAGGACTGAGTGTGGACAGGTGGCCAGGGAGACTGGGTGTGGGCAGGAGGTCAGGAGGACTGGGTGTGGGCAGGTGGTCAAGGAGACTGGGTGTGGGCAGGGGGGCAGGGAGACTGGGTGTGGGCAGGTGTGAGCAGGGAGACTGGTTGTGAACAGGTGTGAGCAGGAAGACTGGGTGTGGGCAGGTGTGAGCAGGGAGACTGGTTGTGAACAGGTGTGAGCAGGAGGACTGGGTGTGGGCAGGTGTCCAGGGAGACTGGGTGTGGGCAGGAGGTTAGGAGGACTGGGTGTGGGCAGGTGGTCAAGGAGACTGGGTGTGGGCAGGGGGGCAGGGAGACTGGGTGTGGGCAGGTGTGAGCAGGGAGACTGGTTGTGAACAGGTGTGAGCAGGAAGACTGGGTGTGGGCTGGTGGGCAGGTTGTCTGGGTGTGGGCAGGTGGGCAGGGAAACTGGATGTGGGCAGGTGTGAGCAGGGAGACTGAGTGTGGGCAGGTGGGCAGGGAGATTGGGTGTGGACAGGTGGGCAGGGAGACTGGGTGTGGGCAGGTTGGCAGGAGGACTGGGTGTGGACAGGTGGGCAGGAGAACTGGGTGTGGACAGGTGGGCAGGGAGTCTGGGTGTGGGCAGGTGGGCAGGAAGACCTGGTATGAGCAGTTGTGAGTAGGGGTCAGTGGGTTTGCGCAGTGGTCAAGGGGTAGGGGTTTTGTGAGACTCTAAGACAGCTGAATGGGGGCTGGCCCTGCTGGGACCCCCCTAGCGCCCGTTTGGTGTCTGGGCTAAGAGGGTGTGGGCACAGAGAGCACCTGAGCCAGTGGAGCTGGACACAGGTCCCAGGGTAAGGGACCTTAGGGTGTGTGGAGCAGTGGGAGGCCTGGGGCCATGCAGCCATGTGGACGGGACCGCATACCGGGAGCTTTAAGGAGCGGGAGAGATCCAAGGTTGGCGCTCCAGGGCCCAGGCTCCTGGTGCAGTTTGAGAATTCCAGACTGCGTCGGGTGCAGGAGGAAAGAGCTGCCCCCATTCCACAAGAAGCGCCTTGCTGCCCTGGGCTGCTCCTGCATCCTGTTGGGCAGCTAGGGTCTCAGGAGCCAGTGGCCTGGAGACGGGACAGAGTCTGGCCTTGGGGGTCCCTGATTGTAGCCTCCTGTGCCCTGTAGGAAGTGCGCAGAGCGAGGATCTTCGGGTGCCTGCTACCATGAACGGCCACACAGCCTCTCCTCTGGACTCACCTGTCTGCAGCAGCACGGAGCCAGCCCTCATCCCCCCAGCCACGAAGACTGTGCCAGGAGCAGAGCCCCGGGCTGTGGCGGAGCATGCCAGGAGCATTGCAGGGGTGTATGTGGAGGCTTCCGGCCAGGTCCTGGGCGTCTATGCCGCCATGAAGCAGAACCTCTTGCCTGCTGGGCTGGGGCTGGCTCTGCTGGAGGCCCAGGCAGCTACCGGGGGCCTGGTGGAGCCCACCCAGGGCCGGCTGCTCACCGTGGCTGAGGCTCTGAGGCAGGGTCTGGTGGGCCTGGAGCTGAAGGAGAAGCTGCTAGTTGCTGAGCGTGCCGTCACTGGCTACCCTGACCCCTACGGAGGCGAGAAGCTGGCCCTGTTCCAGGCCATTGGGAAGGAGGTGGTGGACCCTGCTCTGGGGAAGGGTTGGCTGCAGGCCCAACTGGCCACTGGGGGCCTGGTGGACCCCGTCCAGAGCATCCGTGTAGTCCCAGAGCTGGCCTGCCAACAGGGCCTTCTGGACCAGGGCACGTGGCAGGGTCTGCTGTCGGGTAAGCCTGGCCAGGAGGCTCCAGGCTTCCTTGACCCCAACAGCCTGGAGCCGCTGCCCTACCCTGAGCTCCTGGGCAGGTGCGTGCGGGACTCCCGCTCAGGGCTGGCCCTGCTGCCCCTCAAGATCACTTTCCGCACCCTGAGTGGGTCAGTGAGCCTGACTGAGCTTCTGGAGGCCGAAGTCATAGATGAGGAGATAGCCCGGGGCCTGCAGGAGGGCAGGTTGACCGCAACAGAGGTGGGCAACCGAGCCGAGGTCCGGTGCTTCCTGCAGGGATCTGGGGGCTTGGCAGGGGTTGTGCTGCTGCCTGCTGGCCAGAAGAAAAGCTTCTCCCAGGCAGTGGCTGAGCGCCTGCTCCCCACAGGTGCAGCTCTCTGGCTCCTGGAGGCCCAGGCGGCCACCTGTACACTGGTGGACCCGGCCAGCGGCCAGCGACTGAGTGTGGCGGAGGCCGTGCGAGCAGGCCTGGTTGGCCCAGAGCTCCACAGGCAGCTCCTGGTGGCAGAGGAGGCAGTGACTGGATACCATGACCCCTTCAGTGGCGCTCGTGTTCCGCTTTTTCAGGCCATGAAGAAGGAGCTAGTGGCCAAGCCCCTGGCGCTGCGGCTTCTGGATGCGCAGCTGGCCACGGGCGGTCTGATGTGCCCTGACCGCAGGCTCCGGCTGCCCCTGAAGGCCGCCATGCGCTTCGGCTGCCTGGATGAGGAGACACGTGAGCTTCTCTCTCAGGCTTCCGGCTTTCTGGACCCCAGCACCCAAGAGAGCCTGAGCTACAGGCAGCTCCTGACCCACAGTGTCACTGACCCCGAGACGGGCCTGGCCTTCCTGCCCCTCTCAGGGGGGACCCTGGGAAATGAGCCCCCGGGACCTCCATTCATTGAGCACAGCACCCGGCAGGCCTTGCTTTCAGCCAAGGCCACCATCCCCGCAGGCAAGTTCCAGGGACAGTGTGTGTCACTCTGGGAGCTGCTCTTCTTTGAGGCCATCCCAACGCCACAGAGGGCAGTGCTGGCCCAGCAATACAAGGAAGGGATTCTGTCCATGGAGGGGCTGGCCACCACACTCAGGACCACCATAGAACAGGCTGCTGCCACCACGAGAGTCACCTTCCCCGGACTGCGGGTGGCAGTGACCCCCAAAGAGCTGCTGCAGGCGGAGATCATTGGCCAAGACATGTATGAGCAGCTGGAACGTGGCCAGGCCACAGCACAGGACATAGGCAGCCTGGACTCAGTGCACAGGTACCTGCAGGGCACGGGCTGCATCGCTGGCCTGCTGTTACCTGGCTCCCAGGAGCGCCTCAGCATCTATGAGGCCCGCAAGAAGGGCATCCTGCGGCCAGGAACTGCCCTTATTCTGCTGGAGGCCCAGGCCGCCACCGGCTTCATCATCGACCCAAAAGCAAACAGGCGTTTCTCTGTGGATGAGGCGCTACGGGCAGGCGTGGTCGGGCCTGATGTGTTCTCGAAGCTACTGTCAGCTGAGCGCGCCGTCACTGGCTATACCGACCCCTACACCGGTGAGCAGATCTCCCTCTTCCAGGCCATGAAGAAGGAGCTGATCGTGCACGACCACGGCATCCGCCTGCTGGAGGCCCAGATCGCCACGGGCGGCATCGTGGACCCCGTGCACAGCCACCGCGTGCCCGTGGACGTGGCCTACCAGCGTGGCTACTTTGATGAAGAGATGAGCCGCGTGCTGGCGGACCCGGGCGACGACACCAAGGGCTTCTTCGACCCCAACACGCATGAGAACCTCACATACCTGCAGCTGCTGGAGCGCTGCGTGCAGGACCCTGACACGGGGCTGTTCCTGCTCCCTCTAGGTACTGCCCAGCCCCAGCTGGTGGACAGTGCTACCCGTCAGGCCTTCCAGAACCTGCTGGTGCAAGTGAAGCATGGGCGGTTCCGGAACCAGCGGGTATCCGCGTGGGAGCTGGTCAACTCAGAGTACTTTAGTGAGAGCCGACGCCGGCAGCTGCTGCAGAGTTTCCGGCGGCACCAGATCTCACTACAACAGCTGGCACAGCAGCTGGAGAGAGAGATGGGCAGGTGGGCGGACATCAGGATCCCTACACTGCGGGGCCAGGTCACTGTCTACCAGCTATTAGAGGCCCACATCATCGACCAGGAGCTCCTGGAGCAGGTCCTGGCTGGGGCGGTCAGCCCCGAAGCCCTGATGCACAAGGAGACTGTCCGCAGGTACCTGCGGGGATTGGGTGCTGTGGCGGGGGTACTCCTGCAGCCCTCCAACCGGCAGCTTAACCTGTACCAGGCTATGAAGCAGAAGGTTCTGGGTCCCAGTGTCGCCCTGGCACTCTTGGAGGCCCAGGCAGCCACCGGGGGTCTGCTGGACCCCCACAGTCCCAATGGCCTGTCTGTGCAGGAGGCAGTGCGCAGGGAGCTGGTGGGGCCTGAACTGTATGGCCAGCTGCAGTGGGCTGAAGATGCCGTTACGGGACTCAGAGACCCCTTCTCAGAGAAGCAGGTGTCCCTGTTTCAGGCCATGAAGAAGGGTCTTATCCCCAAGGAGCAGGCTGCCCGCCTCCTGGAGGCCCAGGTGGCCACAGGCGGGGTCATTGACCCTACTGGCCACCACCACCTCCCCACACCCCTGGCTATCCAGAGGGGCTACATTGACCCAGAGATGGACGTGGCTCTGCGCAGCTCTGCTGAGACCTTCCCCACGCTGGATGGTCGGGGTTATACCAGCTACGCTCACCTCTTGCAACAGTGTGTGAGGGATGAGACCTCGGGCCTGCAGCTCCTGCCTGTGTCAGAGGCCACACCCACACTGCCCACGGACCAGCAGGTGCAGGCCGCCCTGCAGGCCACACCAGCCGCTGAGGATGGTACATCGCTCTGGGAGCTGCTGAGCTCTGGACACTTCACTGAGGAGCAGCGCAGGGCATTTCTGGAGGAGTTTAGGGTGGGCAAGAGCAGCGTGGAGCAGCTACAGGACACTGTGCGCAAGTGGGTACAGGCAGCAGAGCTCCTGGCACGGGCCCGTGTCACAGTGCCTGGCCCACGGGGCCCGGTGCCTGCTGTCTGGCTGCTGGATGCTGGCATCATCACCCAGGACACTCTGGCAGGGCTGGCAGAGGGCAGGCAGGCCCCTGAGGAGGTTGCTGAGCTGCCCGAGGTGAAGGCGAGTCTGTTGGGCACGGGCTGCGTGGCAGGGGTGCTGCTACAGCCCTCGGGGACCAAAGTGACCATCGCCCAGGCCATAAGGAATGGTCTCTTGCCCGAGGGCCTCGGCCGCAGACTGCTGGAGGCCCAGGTGGCAGCAGGTGCCCTTGTTAATCCTCTGACCAACCAGAGGCTCTCTGTGGAAGGTGCAGTCAGGGCTGGCCTGGTGAGCGGACAGCTTGGCGAGCAGCTCCAGCAGACTGAGAGAGCTGTGTCTGGGTATGTGGACCCTATTTCAGGGGCCCCCCTCTCGCTGTGGCAGGCTGTGGAGAAGGGGCTTGTGTCCCGGAGCGAGGGCCTCCCCCTCCTGCAGGTGCAGCTGGCCACCGGGGGAGTGATGGACCCCATCCACGGGGTACGATTGACCCAGGAGGCAGCCTGCAGACTTGGCTTCCTGGATGGGCCCACGAGCCAGACTCTGACCTCGGGGAAAGAAGACAGCAAGTTCTTCTTCGACCCCAACACCCGGGACATGCTGACGTACCAGCAGCTCAGGGAGCGTTGTGTCCTGGACAACACCACAGGTCTGAGACTGCTGTCGCTGGCGGAGGACACGGCCCTGGAGGTGGATGAGCACACAGCAGTGGCGCTGAGGGCAATGAAGGTGCCGGTCAGCGCAGGCCGGTTCCAGGGGCACAGTGTATCTCTCTGGGACCTGCTGCACTCAGAGTATGTGGCGCCCAGTAAGCGGCGGGAGCTGGCAGCGCTCTGCCAGTCAGGCAGGGCTACAGCGCTGCGGCAGGCTGGCAATGCCCTCATAGCCCTGGTGGAGGCAGCTGACAGCCACCCAGTGCAGACCACCTTCAAAGGCCTCCGGAAGCAGGTGTCAGCCCATGACCTTTTTCAGTCTCAGCTGATTGACAAGAAGACGCTAGACGAGCTGAGTCGAGGGATGAAAACCGTGCAGGAGGTGACAGAGATGGACAGTGTGAAGCGCTTCCTGGAGGGCTGCAATTTCATCGCTGGCGTCATTGTGCAGAGCACCCAGGAGAAGATGAGCATCTCAGAGGCCCTGCAGAGGCACCTCCTGCGGCCGGGCACAGCCCTGGTGCTGCTGGAGGCCCAAGCCGCCACTGGTTTTCTCATTGACCCTGTGCACAACCGCAGGCTCACCGTGCAGGATGCCTTTGCCCAAGGGCTGTTTGGGAAGGAGACCTACCAGAAGCTGCTGTCGGCCGAGCGCGCCGTCACCGGCTACACTGACCCCTACACCGGCGAGCAGATCTCCCTCTTCCAGGCCATGAAGAAGGAGCTGATTGTGCGTGACCATGGCATCCGCCTGCTGGAGGCCCAGATCGCCACGGGCGGCATCATTGACCCCGTGCACAGCCACCGTGTGCCCGTGGACGTGGCCTACCAGCGCGGTTACTTCGACGAGGAGATGAGCCGCGTGCTGGCGGACCCGGGCGACGACACCAAGGGCTTCTTCGACCCCAACACGCACGAGAACCTCACGTACCTGCAGCTGCTGGAGCGCTGTGTGCGCGACCCCGACACAGGGCTGTTCCTGCTGCAGGTGGTGAAGAAGGGAGAAGAATACATATATATTGATGACGCCACCAGGCAGGCGCTGCAGGCGGCACACACAACAGTCCATGTGGGCAGGTTCGCCCAGCAGACAGTGTCCATCTGGGAACTGCTGTCCTCTCCGTACTTCACCGAGGAGCGGAAGCGAGGGCTCGCTTGGGACTACAGAGCCCAGAGACTGAGCCTGGAGCAGCTGCTCGAGACCATCGTGGCGACCATAGAGGAAACAGAAAGGAAGAGCAGTGTCATCAAGGTGGCAGGCACAGGTGGGGAGGTGACTGCTGCCCAGCTCTTCAACTCAGGGATCATCGATAAGAAGGCCCTGGATGCCCTGCATGCGGGGACCAATGAGCAGCAGGACCTCAGCCAGCAGGCCCAGGTGAAGACCTATCTGGAAGGCAGCGGCTGCATTGCTGGGGTGATGGTCCCCTCCACCCAGGAGGTGTTAAGCTTCTGTGAGGCCTGCAGGAAAGGACTCATCCCCGCAGGGCTGGCGGTCCAGATGCTGGAGGCTCAGGCAGCCACAGGCTTCCTGCTGGACCCCCACAGCCAACAGAAACTGTCTGTGGATGAGGCTGTGGCGAAGGGCCTGGTGGATGAGGAGCTGCGAGAGAGACTCCTGAATGCAGGAAAAGCGGCCCAGGGCTTTGAGGACCCAGCCACAGGAGACAGGCTTTCCCTGCTGCAGGCCATGCAAAAGAAGCTGATCAAGAGGGAGGATGCACTCAGGCTGCTGGAGGTGCAGGTGGCCACGGGGGGTGCACTGGACCCCTGGAACCACCACCGGCTACCACTGGATACGGCCTACAGACGTGGCTGTCTGAGCCAGGACACGTACATGCTGGTGGCTGATAAAAGACACATGAAGAAACGCTTTCTAGACCCCAACACGCAGCAGAAGGTCACCTATCAGGAGATGCAAGAGAAGTGCCACCGGGATGAGAAAACAGGATGGATACTGCTGCCACTCGACCCAGGGGCGGAGGACAGCATGTACATTGATGAGGCGACCAGAAGGGCACTGGAGGCTGAGCATGTGGATGTGCAGGTGGGGAGGTACCGGGGCCAGAGGCCGTCTGTGTGGGAGCTGCTGAACTCAGAGTATGTGACGGAGAAGGAAAAGATTGAGCTGGTGAGGCAGTACAAAGAAGACACGAAAAACGCCCTAACAAAAGTGGTGCAGGTAATATATACGATGATTGAAGACAGGGAGAAGAGGAACAAGACACCGTGGTTCCGAGGTCTCCGCAAGCAGGTCACCGCCGCAGAACTCTGCCAGTCAGGAATCATCTCCAAAGATGTGCTCCAGGCACTGGACCAAGGCAGCTGTACGGTGCAGGATGTACAGAAAGAGAAAGGAGTTCAACGCTACCTGGAGGGCGAGAGCTGCATCGCGGGCGTGCTGGTGCCCTCCAGGGACCGGCCCGGGCAGCAGGAGAAGATGAGCATCTACCAGGCCATGTGGAAGGGCGTCCTGCGGCCGGGCACGGCCCTGGTGCTGCTGGAGGCCCAGGCCGCCACCGGCTTCATCATCGACCCCGTGCACGACCGCCGGCTGTCGGTGGAGGAGGCCGTGGCCGCGGGCGTGGTGGGCGGCGAGATCCGAGACAAGCTGCTGTCGGCCGAGCGCGCCGTCACCGGCTACACCGACCCCTACACCGGCGAGCAGATCTCCCTCTTCCAGGCCATGAAGAAGGAGCTGATCGTGCACGACCACGGCATCCGCCTGCTGGAGGCCCAGATCGCCACGGGCGGCATCGTGGACCCCGTGCACAGCCACCGCGTGCCCGTGGACGTGGCCTACCAACGCGGCTACTTCGACGAGGAGATGAGCCGCGTGCTGGCGGACCCGGGCGACGACACCAAGGGCTTCTTCGACCCCAACACGCACGAGAACCTCACGTACCTGCAGCTGCTGCGGCGCTGCGTGCGCGACCCCGACACGGGGCTGTACATGCTGCAGCTGGCCGGCCCGCGCTCGGCCCTGCACCAGCTGAGCGAGGAGCTGCGCGCCGCCCTGCGCCAGGCGCGCGTGGCCGTGGGCGCGGGCTCCCTGCGGGGCCAGAGCCTGTCGGTGTGGGAGCTCCTCTTCTACCGAGAGGTGTCCGAGGACCTGCGGCAGGAACTGCTCCGGGGCTTGGGAGCGGGCAGCCTCAGCGTGCAGGACGTGGGGGCCTCCCTGGTCTCGCAGCTGGCCCGGGCCGAGGAGGGGCGCCCGGCCCCGGCGGACCTCCGCGAGTCGCTTCGCGCCGCCACCATGGAGGTGAGGGTGGGCCGGCTGCGCGGGCCGGTGGTGCCCGTGTGGGACGTGCTGGCGTCCGGCTACCTGAGCGGGCCCACGCGGGAGCAGCTGCTGGCCCAGTTCGGGGCGGGGAGCCTGGGCCTGTCCGCGCTCACGCGCCGGCTGACCACCATCATCGAGGAGGCCGAGGAGGCCGAGGAGCGGGCCCGGGCCCGGTGCGCGGAGGAGGCGGCCGGGGACCACCTCCGGCCCGAAGTGGCCCCCCGCGGTCCCGAGGCACACACCAACGGCGACCCGGACGCCTCCCGGGCCGACAGCGGCGGTGATGCCGGTGCCGATGCCAGTGACGCTAATGCCGCCCGGCGCCAACAGGAGCAGGCCCTGCGTGCCGCCACCATGCAAGTGAGCGTCGGGCAGTTCCAGGGGCAGGCGGTGGCGCTGTGGGACGTCCTGTGGTCCTCCTATGTGAGCCAGGCGCGCCGCGAAGAGCTGCTGGCCCAGCACGCGGCCGGAGCCCTGGCCCTGCCCGCCCTGGAAGCCGTCCTCACGCAGCTCATCGAGGAGGCCGAGGAGAGGCTGAGCCAGGTGCGCTTCCGCGGCCTGCGGCACCAGGTGTCCGCCAGCCAGCTGGGCAAGTCGGGCATCCTGGACGCGGACACCCTGCGCGGCCTGGCCCAGGGCACCAAGAGCCTGCGGGAGGTGACCGAGATGGACTCGGTGCGGCGCTACCTGGAGGGCGAGAGCTGCATCGCGGGCGTGCTGGTGCCCTCCAGGGACCGGCCCGGGCAGCAGGAGAAGATGAGCATCTACCAGGCCATGTGGAAGGGCGTCCTGCGGCCGGGCACGGCCCTGGTGCTGCTGGAGGCCCAGGCCGCCACCGGCTTCATCATCGACCCCGTGCACGACCGCCGGCTGTCGGTGGAGGAGGCCGTGGCCGCGGGCGTGGTGGGCGGCGAGATCCGAGACAAGCTGCTGTCGGCCGAGCGCGCCGTCACCGGCTACACCGACCCCTACACCGGCGAGCAGATCTCCCTCTTCCAGGCCATGAAGAAGGAGCTGATCGTGCACGACCACGGCATCCGCCTGCTGGAGGCCCAGATCGCCACGGGCGGCATCGTGGACCCCGTGCACAGCCACCGCGTGCCCGTGGACGTGGCCTACCAGCGCGGCTACTTCGACGAGGAGATGAGCCGCGTGCTGGCGGACCCGGGCGACGACACCAAGGGCTTCTTCGACCCCAACACGCACGAGAACCTCACGTACCTGCAGCTGCTGCGGCGCTGCGTGCGCGACCCCGACACGGGGCTGTACATGCTGCAGCTGGCCGGCCCGCGCTCGGCCCTGCACCAGCTGAGCGAGGAGCTGCGCGCCGCCCTGCGCCAGGCGCGCGTGGCCGTGGGCGCGGGCTCCCTGCGGGGCCAGAGCCTGTCGGTGTGGGAGCTCCTCTTCTACCGAGAGGTGTCCGAGGACCTGCGGCAGGAACTGCTCCGGGGCTTGGGAGCGGGCAGCCTCAGCGTGCAGGACGTGGGGGCCTCCCTGGTCTCGCAGCTGGCCCGGGCCGAGGAGGGGCGCCCGGCCCCGGCGGACCTCCGCGAGTCGCTTCGCGCCGCCACCATGGAGGTGAGGGTGGGCCGGCTGCGCGGGCCGGTGGTGCCCGTGTGGGACGTGCTGGCGTCCGGCTACCTGAGCGGGCCCACGCGGGAGCAGCTGCTGGCCCAGTTCGGGGCGGGGAGCCTGGGCCTGTCCGCGCTCACGCGCCGGCTGACCACCATCATCGAGGAGGCCGAGGAGGCCGAGGAGCGGGCCCGGGCCCGGTGCGCGGAGGAGGCGGCCGGGGACCACCTCCGGCCCGAAGTGGCCCCCCGCGGTCCCGAGGCACACACCAACGGCGACCCGGACGCCTCCCGGGCCGACAGCGGCGGTGATGCCGGTGCCGATGCCAGTGACGCTAATGCCGCCCGGCGCCAACAGGAGCAGGCCCTGCGTGCCGCCACCATGCAAGTGAGCGTCGGGCAGTTCCAGGGGCAGGCGGTGGCGCTGTGGGACGTCCTGTGGTCCTCCTATGTGAGCCCGGCGCGCCGCGAAGAGCTGCTGGCCCAGCACGCGGCCGGAGCCCTGGCCCTGCCCGCCCTGGAAGCCGTCCTCACGCAGCTCATCGAGGAGGCCGAGGAGAGGCTGAGCCAGGTGCGCTTCCGCGGCCTGCGGCACCAGGTGTCCGCCAGCCAGCTGGGCAAGTCGGGCATCCTGGACGCGGACACCCTGCGCGGCCTGGCCCAGGGCACCAAGAGCCTGCGGGAGGTGACCGAGATGGACTCGGTGCGGCGCTACCTGGAGGGCGAGAGCTGCATCGCGGGCGTGCTGGTGCCCTCCAGGGACCGGCCCGGGCAGCAGGAGAAGATGAGCATCTACCAGGCCATGTGGAAGGGCGTCCTGCGGCCGGGCACGGCCCTGGTGCTGCTGGAGGCCCAGGCCGCCACCGGCTTCATCATCGACCCCGTGCACGACCGCCGGCTGTCGGTGGAGGAGGCCGTGGCCGCGGGCGTGGTGGGCGGCGAGATCCGAGACAAGCTGCTGTCGGCCGAGCGCGCCGTCACCGGCTACACCGACCCCTACACCGGCGAGCAGATCTCCCTCTTCCAGGCCATGAAGAAGGAGCTGATCGTGCACGACCACGGCATCCGCCTGCTGGAGGCCCAGATCGCCACGGGCGGCATCGTGGACCCCGTGCACAGCCACCGCGTGCCCGTGGACGTGGCCTACCAGCGCGGCTACTTCGACGAGGAGATGAGCCGCGTGCTGGCGGACCCGGGCGACGACACCAAGGGCTTCTTCGACCCCAACACGCACGAGAACCTCACGTACCTGCAGCTGCTGCGGCGCTGCGTGCGCGACCCCGACACGGGGCTGTACATGCTGCAGCTGGCCGGCCCGCGCTCGGCCCTGCACCAGCTGAGCGAGGAGCTGCGCGCCGCCCTGCGCCAGGCGCGCGTGGCCGTGGGCGCGGGCTCCCTGCGGGGCCAGAGCCTGTCGGTGTGGGAGCTCCTCTTCTACCGAGAGGTGTCCGAGGACCTGCGGCAGGAACTGCTCCGGGGCTTGGGAGCGGGCAGCCTCAGCGTGCAGGACGTGGGGGCCTCCCTGGTCTCGCAGCTGGCCCGGGCCGAGGAGGGGCGCCCGGCCCCGGCGGACCTCCGCGAGTCGCTTCGCGCCGCCACCATGGAGGTGAGGGTGGGCCGGCTGCGCGGGCCGGTGGTGCCCGTGTGGGACGTGCTGGCGTCCGGCTACCTGAGCGGGCCCACGCGGGAGCAGCTGCTGGCCCAGTTCGGGGCGGGGAGCCTGGGCCTGTCCGCGCTCACGCGCCGGCTGACCACCATCATCGAGGAGGCCGAGGAGGCCGAGGAGCGGGCCCGGTCCCGGTGCGCGGAGGAGGCGGCCGGGGACCACCTCCGGCCCGAAGTGGCCCCCCGCGGTCCCGAGGCACACACCAACGGCGACCCGGACGCCTCCCGGGCCGACAGCGGCGGTGATGCCGGTGCCGATGCCAGTGACGCTAATGCCGCCCGGCGCCAACAGGAGCAGGCCCTGCGTGCCGCCACCATGCAAGTGAGCGTCGGGCAGTTCCAGGGGCAGGCGGTGGCGCTGTGGGACGTCCTGTGGTCCTCCTATGTGAGCCCGGCGCGCCGCGAAGAGCTGCTGGCCCAGCACGCGGCCGGAGCCCTGGCCCTGCCCGCCCTGGAAGCCGTCCTCACGCAGCTCATCGAGGAGGCCGAGGAGAGGCTGAGCCAGGTGCGCTTCCGCGGCCTGCGGCACCAGGTGTCCGCCAGCCAGCTGGGCAAGTCGGGCATCCTGGACGCGGACACCCTGCGCGGCCTGGCCCAGGGCACCAAGAGCCTGCGGGAGGTGACCGAGATGGACTCGGTGCGGCGCTACCTGGAGGGCGAGAGCTGCATCGCGGGCGTGCTGGTGCCCTCCAGGGACCGGCCCGGGCAGCAGGAGAAGATGAGCATCTACCAGGCCATGTGGAAGGGCGTCCTGCGGCCGGGCACGGCCCTGGTGCTGCTGGAGGCCCAGGCCGCCACCGGCTTCATCATCGACCCCGTGCACGACCGCCGGCTGTCGGTGGAGGAGGCCGTGGCCGCGGGCGTGGTGGGCGGCGAGATCCGAGACAAGCTGCTGTCGGCCGAGCGCGCCGTCACCGGCTACACCGACCCCTACACCGGCGAGCAGATCTCCCTCTTCCAGGCCATGAAGAAGGAGCTGATCGTGCACGACCACGGCATCCGCCTGCTGGAGGCCCAGATCGCCACGGGCGGCATCGTGGACCCCGTGCACAGCCACCGCGTGCCCGTGGACGTGGCCTACCAGCGCGGCTACTTCGACGAGGAGATGAGCCGCGTGCTGGCGGACCCGGGCGACGACACCAAGGGCTTCTTCGACCCCAACACGCACGAGAACCTCACGTACCTGCAGCTGCTGCGGCGCTGCGTGCGCGACCCCGACACGGGGCTGTACATGCTGCAGCTGGCCGGCCCGCGCTCGGCCCTGCACCAGCTGAGCGAGGAGCTGCGCGCCGCCCTGCGCCAGGCGCGCGTGGCCGTGGGCGCGGGCTCCCTGCGGGGCCAGAGCCTGTCGGTGTGGGAGCTCCTCTTCTACCGAGAGGTGTCCGAGGATCTGCGGCAGGAACTGCTCCGGGGCTTGGGAGCGGGCAGCCTCAGCGTGCAGGACGTGGGGGCCTCCCTGGTCTCGCAGCTGGCCCGGGCCGAGGAGGGGCGCCCGGCCCCGGCGGACCTCCGCGAGTCGCTTCGCGCCGCCACCATGGAGGTGAGGGTGGGCCGGCTGCGCGGGCCGGTGGTGCCCGTGTGGGACGTGCTGGCGTCCGGCTACCTGAGCGGGCCCACGCGGGAGCAGCTGCTGGCCCAGTTCGGGGCGGGGAGCCTGGGCCTGTCCGCGCTCACGCGCCGGCTGACCACCATCATCGAGGAGGCCGAGGAGGCCGAGGAGCGGGCCCGGGCCCGGTGCGCGGAGGAGGCGGCCGGGGACCACCTCCGGCCCGAAGTGGCCCCCCGCGGTCCCGAGGCACACACCAACGGCGACCCGGACGCCTCCCGGGCCGACAGCGGCGGTGATGCCGGTGCCGATGCCAGTGACGCTAATGCCGCCCGGCGCCAACAGGAGCAGGCCCTGCGTGCCGCCACCATGCAAGTGAGCGTCGGGCAGTTCCAGGGGCAGGCGGTGGCGCTGTGGGACGTCCTGTGGTCCTCCTATGTGAGCCCGGCGCGCCGCGAAGAGCTGCTGGCCCAGCACGCGGCCGGAGCCCTGGCCCTGCCCGCCCTGGAAGCCGTCCTCACGCAGCTCATCGAGGAGGCCGAGGAGAGGCTGAGCCAGGTGCGCTTCCGCGGCCTGCGGCACCAGGTGTCCGCCAGCCAGCTGGGCAAGTCGGGCATCCTGGACGCGGACACCCTGCGCGGCCTGGCCCAGGGCACCAAGAGCCTGCGGGAGGTGACCGAGATGGACTCGGTGCGGCGCTACCTGGAGGGCGAGAGCTGCATCGCGGGCGTGCTGGTGCCCTCCAGGGACCGGCCCGGGCAGCAGGAGAAGATGAGCATCTACCAGGCCATGTGGAAGGGCGTCCTGCGGCCGGGCACGGCCCTGGTGCTGCTGGAGGCCCAGGCCGCCACCGGCTTCATCATCGACCCCGTGCACGACCGCCGGCTGTCGGTGGAGGAGGCCGTGGCCGCGGGCGTGGTGGGCGGCGAGATCCGAGACAAGCTGCTGTCGGCCGAGCGCGCCGTCACCGGCTACACCGACCCCTACACCGGCGAGCAGATCTCCCTCTTCCAGGCCATGAAGAAGGAGCTGATCGTGCACGACCACGGCATCCGCCTGCTGGAGGCCCAGATCGCCACGGGCGGCATCGTGGACCCCGTGCACAGCCACCGCGTGCCCGTGGACGTGGCCTACCAGCGCGGCTACTTCGACGAGGAGATGAGCCGCGTGCTGGCGGACCCGGGCGACGACACCAAGGGCTTCTTCGACCCCAACACGCACGAGAACCTCACGTACCTGCAGCTGCTGCGGCGCTGCGTGCGCGACCCCGACACGGGGCTGTACATGCTGCAGCTGGCCGGCCCGCGCTCGGCCCTGCACCAGCTGAGCGAGGAGCTGCGCGCCGCCCTGCGCCAGGCGCGCGTGGCCGTGGGCGCGGGCTCCCTGCGGGGCCAGAGCCTGTCGGTGTGGGAGCTCCTCTTCTACCGAGAGGTGTCCGAGGATCTGCGGCAGGAACTGCTCCGGGGCTTGGGAGCGGGCAGCCTCAGCGTGCAGGACGTGGGGGCCTCCCTGGTCTCGCAGCTGGCCCGGGCCGAGGAGGGGCGCCCGGCCCCGGCGGACCTCCGCGAGTCGCTTCGCGCCGCCACCATGGAGGTGAGGGTGGGCCGGCTGCGCGGGCCGGTGGTGCCCGTGTGGGACGTGCTGGCGTCCGGCTACCTGAGCGGGCCCACGCGGGAGCAGCTGCTGGCCCAGTTCGGGGCGGGGAGCCTGGGCCTGTCCGCGCTCACGCGCCGGCTGACCACCATCATCGAGGAGGCCGAGGAGGCCGAGGAGCGGGCCCGGGCCCGGTGCGCGGAGGAGGCGGCCGGGGACCACCTCCGGCCCGAAGTGGCCCCCCGCGGTCCCGAGGCACACACCAACGGCGACCCGGACGCCTCCCGGGCCGACAGCGGCGGTGATGCCGGTGCCGATGCCAGTGACGCTAATGCCGCCCGGCGCCAACAGGAGCAGGCCCTGCGTGCCGCCACCATGCAAGTGAGCGTCGGGCAGTTCCAGGGGCAGGCGGTGGCGCTGTGGGACGTCCTGTGGTCCTCCTATGTGAGCCCGGCGCGCCGCGAAGAGCTGCTGGCCCAGCACGCGGCCGGAGCCCTGGCCCTGCCCGCCCTGGAAGCCGTCCTCACGCAGCTCATCGAGGAGGCCGAGGAGAGGCTGAGCCAGGTGCGCTTCCGCGGCCTGCGGCACCAGGTGTCCGCCAGCCAGCTGGGCAAGTCGGGCATCCTGGACGCGGACACCCTGCGCGGCCTGGCCCAGGGCACCAAGAGCCTGCGGGAGGTGACCGAGATGGACTCGGTGCGGCGCTACCTGGAGGGCGAGAGCTGCATCGCGGGCGTGCTGGTGCCCTCCAGGGACCGGCCCGGGCAGCAGGAGAAGATGAGCATCTACCAGGCCATGTGGAAGGGCGTCCTGCGGCCGGGCACGGCCCTGGTGCTGCTGGAGGCCCAGGCCGCCACCGGCTTCATCATCGACCCCGTGCACGACCGCCGGCTGTCGGTGGAGGAGGCCGTGGCCGCGGGCGTGGTGGGCGGCGAGATCCGAGACAAGCTGCTGTCGGCCGAGCGCGCCGTCACCGGCTACACCGACCCCTACACCGGCGAGCAGATCTCCCTCTTCCAGGCCATGAAGAAGGAGCTGATCGTGCACGACCACGGCATCCGCCTGCTGGAGGCCCAGATCGCCACGGGCGGCATCGTGGACCCCGTGCACAGCCACCGCGTGCCCGTGGACGTGGCCTACCAGCGCGGCTACTTCGACGAGGAGATGAGCCGCGTGCTGGCGGACCCGGGCGACGACACCAAGGGCTTCTTCGACCCCAACACGCACGAGAACCTCACGTACCTGCAGCTGCTGCGGCGCTGCGTGCGCGACCCCGACACGGGGCTGTACATGCTGCAGCTGGCCGGCCCGCGCTCGGCCCTGCACCAGCTGAGCGAGGAGCTGCGCGCCGCCCTGCGCCAGGCGCGCGTGGCCGTGGGCGCGGGCTCCCTGCGGGGCCAGAGCCTGTCGGTGTGGGAGCTCCTCTTCTACCGAGAGGTGTCCGAGGACCTGCGGCAGGAACTGCTCCGGGGCTTGGGAGCGGGCAGCCTCAGCGTGCAGGACGTGGGGGCCTCCCTGGTCTCGCAGCTGGCCCGGGCCGAGGAGGGGCGCCCGGCCCCGGCGGACCTCCGCGAGTCGCTTCGCGCCGCCACCATGGAGGTGAGGGTGGGCCGGCTGCGCGGGCCGGTGGTGCCCGTGTGGGACGTGCTGGCGTCCGGCTACCTGAGCGGGCCCACGCGGGAGCAGCTGCTGGCCCAGTTCGGGGCGGGGAGCCTGGGCCTGTCCGCGCTCACGCGCCGGCTGACCACCATCATCGAGGAGGCCGAGGAGGCCGAGGAGCGGGCCCGGGCCCGGTGCGCGGAGGAGGCGGCCGGGGACCACCTCCGGCCCGAAGTGGCCCCCCGCGGTCCCGAGGCACACACCAACGGCGACCCGGACGCCTCCCGGGCCGACAGCGGCGGTGATGCCGGTGCCGATGCCAGTGACGCTAATGCCGCCCGGCGCCAACAGGAGCAGGCCCTGCGTGCCGCCACCATGCAAGTGAGCGTCGGGCAGTTCCAGGGGCAGGCGGTGGCGCTGTGGGACGTCCTGTGGTCCTCCTATGTGAGCCCGGCGCGCCGCGAAGAGCTGCTGGCCCAGCACGCGGCCGGAGCCCTGGCCCTGCCCGCCCTGGAAGCCGTCCTCACGCAGCTCATCGAGGAGGCCGAGGAGAGGCTGAGCCAGGTGCGCTTCCGCGGCCTGCGGCACCAGGTGTCCGCCAGCCAGCTGGGCAAGTCGGGCATCCTGGACGCGGACACCCTGCGCGGCCTGGCCCAGGGCACCAAGAGCCTGCGGGAGGTGACCGAGATGGACTCGGTGCGGCGCTACCTGGAGGGCGAGAGCTGCATCGCGGGCGTGCTGGTGCCCTCCAGGGACCGGCCCGGGCAGCAGGAGAAGATGAGCATCTACCAGGCCATGTGGAAGGGCGTCCTGCGGCCGGGCACGGCCCTGGTGCTGCTGGAGGCCCAGGCCGCCACCGGCTTCATCATCGACCCCGTGCACGACCGCCGGCTGTCGGTGGAGGAGGCCGTGGCCGCGGGCGTGGTGGGCGGCGAGATCCGAGACAAGCTGCTGTCGGCCGAGCGCGCCGTCACCGGCTACACCGACCCCTACACCGGCGAGCAGATCTCCCTCTTCCAGGCCATGAAGAAGGAGCTGATCGTGCACGACCACGGCATCCGCCTGCTGGAGGCCCAGATCGCCACGGGCGGCATCGTGGACCCCGTGCACAGCCACCGCGTGCCCGTGGACGTGGCCTACCAGCGCGGCTACTTCGACGAGGAGATGAGCCGCGTGCTGGCGGACCCGGGCGACGACACCAAGGGCTTCTTCGACCCCAACACGCACGAGAACCTCACGTACCTGCAGCTGCTGCGGCGCTGCGTGCGCGACCCCGACACGGGGCTGTACATGCTGCAGCTGGCCGGCCCGCGCTCGGCCCTGCACCAGCTGAGCGAGGAGCTGCGCGCCGCCCTGCGCCAGGCGCGCGTGGCCGTGGGCGCGGGCTCCCTGCGGGGCCAGAGCCTGTCGGTGTGGGAGCTCCTCTTCTACCGAGAGGTGTCCGAGGACCTGCGGCAGGAACTGCTCCGGGGCTTGGGAGCGGGCAGCCTCAGCGTGCAGGACGTGGGGGCCTCCCTGGTCTCGCAGCTGGCCCGGGCCGAGGAGGGGCGCCCGGCCCCGGCGGACCTCCGCGAGTCGCTTCGCGCCGCCACCATGGAGGTGAGGGTGGGCCGGCTGCGCGGGCCGGTGGTGCCCGTGTGGGACGTGCTGGCGTCCGGCTACCTGAGCGGGCCCACGCGGGAGCAGCTGCTGGCCCAGTTCGGGGCGGGGAGCCTGGGCCTGTCCGCGCTCACGCGCCGGCTGACCACCATCATCGAGGAGGCCGAGGAGGCCGAGGAGCGGGCCCGGGCCCGGTGCGCGGAGGAGGCGGCCGGGGACCACCTCCGGCCCGAAGTGGCCCCCCGCGGTCCCGAGGCACACACCAACGGCGACCCGGACGCCTCCCGGGCCGACAGCGGCGGTGATGCCGGTGCCGATGCCAGTGACGCTAATGCCGCCCGGCGCCAACAGGAGCAGGCCCTGCGTGCCGCCACCATGCAAGTGAGCGTCGGGCAGTTCCAGGGGCAGGCGGTGGCGCTGTGGGACGTCCTGTGGTCCTCCTATGTGAGCCCGGCGCGCCGCGAAGAGCTGCTGGCCCAGCACGCGGCCGGAGCCCTGGCCCTGCCCGCCCTGGAAGCCGTCCTCACGCAGCTCATCGAGGAGGCCGAGGAGAGGCTGAGCCAGGTGCGCTTCCGCGGCCTGCGGCACCAGGTGTCCGCCAGCCAGCTGGGCAAGTCGGGCATCCTGGACGCGGACACCCTGCGCGGCCTGGCCCAGGGCACCAAGAGCCTGCGGGAGGTGACCGAGATGGACTCGGTGCGGCGCTACCTGGAGGGCGAGAGCTGCATCGCGGGCGTGCTGGTGCCCTCCAGGGACCGGCCCGGGCAGCAGGAGAAGATGAGCATCTACCAGGCCATGTGGAAGGGCGTCCTGCGGCCGGGCACGGCCCTGGTGCTGCTGGAGGCCCAGGCCGCCACCGGCTTCATCATCGACCCCGTGCACGACCGCCGGCTGTCGGTGGAGGAGGCCGTGGCCGCGGGCGTGGTGGGCGGCGAGATCCGAGACAAGCTGCTGTCGGCCGAGCGCGCCGTCACCGGCTACACCGACCCCTACACCGGCGAGCAGATCTCCCTCTTCCAGGCCATGAAGAAGGAGCTGATCGTGCACGACCACGGCATCCGCCTGCTGGAGGCCCAGATCGCCACGGGCGGCATCGTGGACCCCGTGCACAGCCACCGCGTGCCCGTGGACGTGGCCTACCAGCGCGGCTACTTCGACGAGGAGATGAGCCGCGTGCTGGCGGACCCGGGCGACGACACCAAGGGCTTCTTCGACCCCAACACGCACGAGAACCTCACGTACCTGCAGCTGCTGCGGCGCTGCGTGCGCGACCCCGACACGGGGCTGTACATGCTGCAGCTGGCCGGCCCGCGCTCGGCCCTGCACCAGCTGAGCGAGGAGCTGCGCGCCGCCCTGCGCCAGGCGCGCGTGGCCGTGGGCGCGGGCTCCCTGCGGGGCCAGAGCCTGTCGGTGTGGGAGCTCCTCTTCTACCGAGAGGTGTCCGAGGACCTGCGGCAGGAACTGCTCCGGGGCTTGGGAGCGGGCAGCCTCAGCGTGCAGGACGTGGGGGCCTCCCTGGTCTCGCAGCTGGCCCGGGCCGAGGAGGGGCGCCCGGCCCCGGCGGACCTCCGCGAGTCGCTTCGCGCCGCCACCATGGAGGTGAGGGTGGGCCGGCTGCGCGGGCCGGTGGTGCCCGTGTGGGATGTGCTGGCGTCCGGCTACCTGAGCGGGCCCACGCGGGAGCAGCTGCTGGCCCAGTTCGGGGCGGGGAGCCTGGGCCTGTCCGCGCTCACGCGCCGGCTGACCACCATCATCGAGGAGGCCGAGGAGGCCGAGGAGCGGGCCCGGGCCCGGTGCGCGGAGGAGGCGGCCGGGGACCACCTCCGGCCCGAAGTGGCCCCCCGCGGTCCCGAGGCACACACCAACGGCGACCCGGACGCCTCCCGGGCCGACAGCGGCGGTGATGCCGGTGCCGATGCCAGTGACGCTAATGCCGCCCGGCGCCAACAGGAGCAGGCCCTGCGTGCCGCCACCATGCAAGTGAGCGTCGGGCAGTTCCAGGGGCAGGCGGTGGCGCTGTGGGACGTCCTGTGGTCCTCCTATGTGAGCCAGGCGCGCCGCGAAGAGCTGCTGGCCCAGCACGCGGCCGGAGCCCTGGCCCTGCCCGCCCTGGAAGCCGTCCTCACGCAGCTCATCGAGGAGGCCGAGGAGAGGCTGAGCCAGGTGCGCTTCCGCGGCCTGCGGCACCAGGTGTCCGCCAGCCAGCTGGGCAAGTCGGGCATCCTGGACGCGGACACCCTGCGCGGCCTGGCCCAGGGCACCAAGAGCCTGCGGGAGGTGACCGAGATGGACTCGGTGCGGCGCTACCTGGAGGGCGAGAGCTGCATCGCGGGCGTGCTGGTGCCCTCCAGGGACCGGCCCGGGCAGCAGGAGAAGATGAGCATCTACCAGGCCATGTGGAAGGGCGTCCTGCGGCCGGGCACGGCCCTGGTGCTGCTGGAGGCCCAGGCCGCCACCGGCTTCATCATCGACCCCGTGCACGACCGCCGGCTGTCGGTGGAGGAGGCCGTGGCCGCGGGCGTGGTGGGCGGCGAGATCCGAGACAAGCTGCTGTCGGCCGAGCGCGCCGTCACCGGCTACACCGACCCCTACACCGGCGAGCAGATCTCCCTCTTCCAGGCCATGAAGAAGGAGCTGATCGTGCACGACCACGGCATCCGCCTGCTGGAGGCCCAGATCGCCACGGGCGGCATCGTGGACCCCGTGCACAGCCACCGCGTGCCCGTGGACGTGGCCTACCAACGCGGCTACTTCGACGAGGAGATGAGCCGCGTGCTGGCGGACCCGGGCGACGACACCAAGGGCTTCTTCGACCCCAACACGCACGAGAACCTCACGTACCTGCAACTGATGGAGCGCTGCGTGCGCGACCCCGACTCGGGGCTTCTCTTTTTGTCTCTGTCCTAACTTACATAAATCCACTTTTAGTTTTCATTTGATTTCTTCATGTCTGGCTTTTTTGTGTCCAGTGTGGTTTGATGTCCTCCCAGCTCTTTGGTTTCTCGTCGTGGTCTCTGGCTCATACTTCTAGTTCTACTGTGCATTTATAGTGGTGTTTTCTTAGTCATATTTCTATGGTCACCCTGAATTTATAGTTATTCCTGATTCCTCGTCTCCTCTCAACCTGCATTTATAATGGTGATTCCTGAGTTCTTTATCTGTGATTACCCCGTGTTTATAGTGGTGATTTCTGAGTACTCCATCCAACCTCCATTTTTATAGGTATTTCCGATTCCTATGTCATGGTCACCATACATTTATAGAGCTGTTTCCTGAGACTACTGCTTGGCTTCAGTCCAGACCGCATAGACATTTCTGTCCATGTTTTAGGCTGCTTTGTTGATTCCATGCTCTCCTTTCTTTTTTTCGTGTTAGCCGTTTCCCGACACTGCCTGTCTACAGACATGTCCAGTCTCTTGGTCTCCATTCTTTCAGCAACAAGCGTGCTGGCTGTGTGCTGGGCATCCCTTGGGGCTGTGTTTCTTCTGACAATACTCTGCAGGATCTCAGGACACCCTCAGATCCTTTTGGGGAGTCCTTGCCCCACTGGGCATGTGTAAGCTTTTCTGCAAACCCTCGCGAGTCAGAGTGGATGTGCCTCTCCATCCCCTTCATTCCAGTTTGCCTGATGGTCATAGTCATCACATGGACACCCTTAGAACATGCTGGTAAATGTATATGGATGCCAAAGGGCCATGGCAGCTGACTTGTTGCAAACAGGAACTGAGGGATAGTCACATAGTCTGAGCTCAGGGACATAGAGCCCAGATCCATCTGAGCCTGACCTCCCCCCCTGGAGTGCTGACCCAGGTTCGGGGGCCTGGGGCCATGTCTGGACACCCTTGTGGACCCTCATCACCCCTTCCCCTTTAAGCGCTATTCCTGTCCTGTGCCTCTGGTCTTCCCAGGCAGAATGTGTGGATCTTATTCTGGGTCCCTTGCATCCTCGGTGCCTGTCCAGTGAGCACCTCACCCCCTTCCTCAGGTCACACCCATGTAAATGCTCAAGGCCCGCCTGCTGGCCATTTCCAGGACAAGCCCAGCTCCCAGAATATACTCTCCTGCCCTTGCTGGTGACAGAAGCTTCTTGAGCTGAGGAAGGTCAGACCTTTCCAAGCTTCCAAGAGCTGTTAGGGGGCGCTGTAAGTCAGCCTTGCTGCCACAGATCCTGACAGGTGTCTTCCAAGGCTCAGGACCCTAAGCCATGAGCCAGAGAAACTTGTCCAGCCGTGCAGGGCTGTGGTGAACTTTCTGGGGAGTATGTCCAAGGTCAGGCCTTTGTGCTGAGACATGCCCCACCCCCACCCCACCCCCCACTCCCCACCCCAGGGAGCCTATGCCATGAAAAATCACCAAATACAGAAGGCAGAACTGGAGGCAGCTGGAGGAGGAGATATGCAGCAGAAGACAGGTAGCAGGAAGTATCTGTGCCTCTCTAGGCACCAGTCTTGCCTGGGCACTGCCCAAGCCCGGTCACATGGGTGGCAAAGTCAGGCACCGTTATGTGGTTGTGAGATGAGAGTTCCATGCCTCCAGCCACTGTGCCAGTCTTCCTGGCACCCACCTGCCTCCAGTACTTCCAAGCTACCCCACAATAGATATCTTTGTCCCCTGTATTCCCAGGGGATTCCAAAGATTTCAGATCCCTGAACTGTAGTTAGAAGCAAATGTGTATGAAAAATAGATTCTAGCCACCTGGAGGACTGACAGGCAAGCAGAGAAGCAACGGTAAACCAATCAAAATCAAAAGCAGCTTCCCAAGGCCGAAGAGATACTGCTGATTACAGTGCTTGCCTCCCATTCCTTCAACTCCTGTTCAAATCCTTGGCACCACACAGTGCGAGTCCCTGGGTACCTCAAAGAGACACTCTAGAGCACAGAGCCAGGAATAGCCCCTGAGCACTGCTGAGTGTGACCCCCCAAAAAAACAAAAATAAATAAAAATAACAAACAGTCTCCCATAGTAGTGAGTGTAAATCATCTCCACAAAACAAATGTTTTCTCCCGGTTTCAGCTGTTGCAGCCTGACGGCTGGATACTTTCTTTGCCTGGCTTAGTTGGCCAGAGAGGCCATAACCTCCATGACAAAGCACCAGGCTTCCCCAGCCCCCAGTGCCTTGTCCTCTTCCCAACGTGCAGTGTCTGCCACCTTCTGCCGGTCCACATTTCTGTTGCTCTTGACAAACTACGATTTGACCTTTTTACAAGTTTTGAATGGAATAAAATGGAATGTCTGGGGGTGGAGTGATAATTACAGCAGGGAGGGCATTTGCCTTGCACGCGGCCGACCCAGGTTGGATTACCAGCACCCATATCGTCCCCTGAGCACCACAGGACTGATTCCTGAGTGAATGTAGCACTGTAGCACTGTCCTCCCATTGTTCATCAATTTGCTTGAGACTTGTTGTTACTGTGTTTGGCATATTGAATACGTCACGGGTAACTTGCCAGGCTTTGCCGTGCGGGTGAGATACTCTTGGTAGCTTGCCAGGCTCTCCAAGAGGGGCAGAAGAATCAAACCCGGCTCAGCTGTGCTGGCTGTGTACAAGGCAAACGCCCTACCACTGTGCTATTCTGAGTGAACAGCCAGGAGTAATCCCTGTGCACCGCCAGCTGTGACCCAAAAAGCCTTTAAAATAAAGTAAAATGAAATGGAATGTCTTAACAAATGCCAACTTGATATATTTGCTGTCAGCCAAGGACTTCAGAAGAACTAAACAGGAACCAGAGGCTTCACTGGCCAGCAAACAAATTTGAACAGGCCCTAACAGTCTGAATGGACTGTAATTTCAGGGCAATGTCCGTGCATTTCTGATGGGCAATATGGGCACGTGCCACAGAGGAACAAACACTGCACATTCAAGGGATGCATGTCAGGGTGGAAAGTGGCAGACAAAGGTCATGGCAGGCAATTTCTAGCATGGTGGTGAGGAGGGCTGCCACTGCACCATGTCCCCTGACCTGTACCAACCAGCCAGGGCTCGGGGTTCCTGTCCCCAAAGCTAGGGGTTGCAAGGCTGCTTTGGATCACTTAAAGCCAAAAGAATATAACAAGTGGCTTCTCCCAGAGAGAGTGATCATTTCCTGCCAACTGATGGAGCCAGGGTTGACCAAATGCAAAGCATTCACCCTGGTACTGTCTCCAGCACAGCCCAGTCTGGTCTTGCCCTCTTATCACAGTCTGTGTAACTTTTCTTGGGGTAAAGAGAAAGACACAAAACTACCAAAGGTTTTAATTATTCCAGTATAGTACCCAGATTACATAACTTGGGGCCTTTTGCATTGAGAATGGTCGCTCACCCTCTTACATGTGTCTCTGCAAGGCTTTTTCTTCCTGGGGTTTGTTGATGAATAATACAGTACAACCTTCCCAGTGTTCTTTTGGAAACTTTCCACACTTACTGATTGCCAAGGAGGTCTTCCAATTTCTTTCTCTTTATCCCTGTCTCTCTTGTTTCCAAGCTTTCCCACCCCCTGCAGGCTGGCCTCAGGTCCTCACTGCAATGCAAAACCATTCCTCACACAGTGCTTGTTTTCACTATTTTTCTAGAAGAGAACATTTCTTCTCTCAAAAACGTATATATCCTCCCTTACAGATCTGTCACATTGGAGGAGCTCTCAGCTGGTCCCCAGAACCTTCCAAGACAGCTTCCAGCAAGAGCACACCTCAGTTCTTGCAGGCTGCCTGCCACTGCCAGGCCCTACCTCCACAGCCCCAGGCCATGAGGCATTGTCCCCTCATAACCGATTCACATCCTCTCCTAGATCACCATGTCTTGGGTGGTCAATGGTAGCAGGGAGGGGGAACCACAACTCACTCCTGGGCTCCCCAGGGCTGATCTGACAGAAGGAGGCAAAGGTGGCATTAGGGTGAGAGGCTGGGAGGGGCAGTCATAGAAACATTGGCCTATCTGGTCACGAGGCCTTGATGCTGGCCTCCTCTGCAAGTCAGGCTCCCAAGCAATGAGATAGCCCCAAAGTGGCAGGGATTTAGAGGGTCTACCTCCTGTCCTCCCAGTCCTCGTATGCATCCACATAAACACTGTGTGACCAGCAAAAATGTGCCACTAGGTGACAAGAAGCAAACAGTTGTGAAGGCAAGGTCCCAGTTGAGCTGTGCACACTCCCCAAAACGGAAGTGCCCTTATAAAGGGGAGGGGACTGCTGTGAATGTAAAGGCATTGGATAGGCTTTTACTGGCACGTCACATCCGGTTGGGATTGGCTCTGGGGCAGGCTTTCGGACCCTGAGGACCCCCACATCTTTGACAGCTTGAGTGAGTTCCTATCTCCCATCCTTCCTTCCTCTAATTCTTTTCTTAATTTTTCTTCTTTCTGAGTCATACCCGGCGATGCACAGGGGTTACTCCTGGTTCTGCACTCAGGAATTACCCCTGGAGGTACTCAGGGGACCACATGGAATGCTGTAAGTCAAACCCAGGTTGGCCTTACCCACTGTGCTATTGTTCCAGCCCCTCTTTTCTTTCTTTGGTTTATGGGCTGCACCTGGCGATGCTCAGGGGTTACTCCTGACTCTGCACTTGGGAATTACTCCTGGTAGTGCTCAGAGGACCATATGGATACCAGGGATCAAACCCAGGACTGCAAGGCAAGCACCTACCTACCCACTATACTCTCCCCGGCCCCTACGTGAATTTCTATTGATAAAAGTACACGATGAGGGCACCGGAGACCCACATGCACAGCAGGTAAGATAGAAGTGTCACCAGCAGCCTCTGGACAATGGGAATTGGTAGACAGGCCTGAGGAGCAGATGCCAGAAAACGATCCGTAGCACATGGAGCGTAGGAGAGGACCAGAACATCGGGGAAGAAAGCCTTTGTCTCCATGGGGCCAGGGCAACCGAGAGAGGGCCACATCAGGGTGTCAGTGGGTGGCCGTCCCCAGAAAGCATGTGGGCAGGGGCTCTTGGGTTACTCCCAGTCTCAGCCCATCCTCACAGGCTTCTGCTCAGGTCTCTTCCCGTGGCCCCTTCCCCTTCCTGAGGATGTCAGAGGCCAAATCCCTCCCCACCCCAGATGACCTCTTTTGAGATCCTTAGTTTAGTTATATCTTAGTCATAAGATCTACCCCCAATAAGGGCACAGTCACAGCTACCAAAATCAGGATATGGAGGTGTCTTTTATTTGGGCAGGGTACCAAGCCAGGTATAGGTGAATGAGTCCAGGAAAAAAGATAGATGAGAAGAAATGGGGGCAGAAGTTAAGAGAACTCAAGTACACCAGTGGGATTAAGGAATGATAGAGCTAAATATACAAACCACAGAGTCAATAACAGTGAAATTCCAAGACTCAAACTTTAAAAACAAGATTTTAGGGGCTGGAGCGATAGCACAGCGGGTAGGGCGTTTGCCTTGCGTGCAGCCAACATGGCCAACACAGGTTCGATTCCCAGCATCCCATATGGTCCCCCAAGCACCGCCAGGAGTAATTCCTGAGTGCATGAGGAGTCAGGAGTGACCCCTGAGCATCGCCGGGTGTGACCCAAAAAGCAAAAAAAAAAAAAAGCCAAAAAACGAGATTTTAAAGGTGTCTGTCAAGATGACAGGCGGGAATGGGGGACAGGCAGGAGGGAGAATCCGGAAGCACTGGTGGAGGGATTGGGGATGGAATATTGGACATCAAAAGTCACACTATGAATGACTTCGTGATTCCTGTTGCTTTAGTACTGCACTGTCCTCCTGTTGTTCATTGATTTGCTCGAGCGGGCCCAGTAACATCTCCATTTTGAGACTTGTTGTTCCTGTGTTTGGCATACCAAATACGTCACAATTAGCTTGCCAGGCTTTGCCGTGCGAGTGAGATACTCTCAGCAGCTTGCCGGGCTCTCCGAGAGGGGCGGAGGAATTGAACCCAGCTCGGCCATGCCGGCTGCGTGCAAGGCAAACACCCTACCACTGTGCTATCGCTCCAGCCTCCAAATCCTCCAAATCCTCCAAATTGTAAGCAGTTCAACTTAAATTTACTGAGAACTCCACTCTCCAGGAGGGAATAATGACATAAAAAGGATTTGGAGGATTTGGACATTTGGAGTATTTGGAGGGCTAGCACAGTGGTAGGGTGTTTGCCTTGCAGGCAGCTGGCCCGACCGAGCCAGGTTCAAATCCTCCGCCCCTCTTGGAGAGCCCGGCAAGCTACCGGATCGGATTCGATATGCCAAACACAGTAACAACAAGTCTCAAAATGGAGACGTTACTGGGCTTGCTCAAGCAAATCGATGCACAATGGGAGAACAGTGCTACAGTGCCAAGCCACTGATGACAGAATATGTTCACCTGGTCCTGGAAGCAAAGAAAGTGGGGGAATTGATCCTGAATTCCACTCGAATGTTCCCTCCTGAATTTCCCCAGACTGTGCCCCTGCTGCCACAGGCCCACATGACGTCTGTCTGTGAAGGGCCTGCCCAGTGGCAGGTGGCAGCTGCGGCACCACAGAGAAGCTGGCTGCCTTTCTGGAGCTCAAGTTTCAAATGTGAAGACGATAAATAAAGTGAGAAAGGCCAAGATAAAGGCAGGTAGGCAGGGGACGGGACAGCCTAGAGGAGAGATGACATTTGAGCTAAGTCACTGAGAGAAGTGAACCGCAAGGACACGGGGCGGAGCACATGCCACCCAGGGCTGTGCCTGTGTGCGTGAACAGCAAACAGCATGTGGCCACCTCCGAGGAGGGCAGAGCTCAGCCTTCACGTCAGAGAGAAACCCCCAGAGGACCCCAATACCACACTCAGATCCAGTATCCCCCACACCTCGGAGAGCCTCTGTGCTCACAGTTTGTGGGAGTCATCCCGTGGCTCTAAGGACTCCACTCTGGAAAGGCCCCAGGACAGAGCAGAAAAGAGCAGCCTCTCCCCTGGAGCCCCGGCCTCCCTCCCCCCTCCCTCACAGGCCCAGATCAGGCTTTCCTTGCCCCTCCCTTGGGCATGGCTGACCACAGTGTGGCTGACCTCAGTATTCAGCCCTTTGGGGAATTCAGGCTGACACCACAAGGCCCCACCTTAAGCCATCATCAGCACAGGACACCTTTGCTGACCCCAGTGCCTGGGTAGGCAGGACTCGCCAAGCTGCCCAGGGCCCGGGCCCACTGGTGAAGGGCGAGTGTGGAATTTGAATGCGCCAAGCTGCCCTGTGGGCATGGCAGCACAGGTGGTGCTGGGCTGGGGGCTGCTCTCCTGTGGGGTTCACTGTGAGGGTGGAGGAGGGAGGCAGGGAGCAGTGGGGCAGCAGGGAACGTCCAGGATTCTTTGGGGGAAACTGAAGGCCTGGGAGGGAGATGGACAGGCAGGAGGTCAGGAGAGAAAGTTGACCCACTCCGGCTTTTCTCCCTAGAAATGAAGGGCAGCGGACTCAATACAGTGGGACGGGCACTTGCTTTGCATGCAAGTTTACTCCCCAGCATTCCACCAGGTCCCCCGAGCACCACCCAGAGTAAGCCCTAAGCAGTGCTTGAAATGAAAGATGGTTGAGGAACCAGCAGCAGTGAGAGCAGAGAGCAGGAAAGGTGGCCGGGCCAGTGGAGGGAGCCCCTGGCTCAGACGGGCAGCGAGGGATGGCCCCTGGAGGGGTTGGGGGCTCCCTCCTGATAAGGCCATGCTGCAGGGAGTCACTGCCCAGAGAGGAGGTGGCGGCCCGCGGGAAGCATGCAGGGGGGTCAAAGGAAGCCCCAGGCTGGCGGCGGATTAAGGGGCAGTTGGCCTGTTCGTGTCCTTCTGGGACCCTTGGTGGTGATGCTCCCTATCTTTCCTTTGGGGGAAGGGGCCCACCCCAAGCTCAGAGGTTCCTCCTGGTTCCACGCTCAGGAAGTCTCACGGCGCTGCTCAGGGAGCCTGTGGGACGGCCCTACCAGCTGTCCTGCCTCCCCTACACTCCACATCTTTCTTGAGGCGGCTGGGTGGGAGGGAAGGTTGGAGCCCCAAATGCGGCCGCGGGTTCGGCAGGACCCCCGAGACCGAACCACGGTTCCCGAGCGCTTCGGGGTGGGGGGTTGGCGCGAGTGTGGCGGGCGCCAGGAGCTGGGCAGGGCTGTTTCCCGGTAGCCCTCTCTGGGAACCCAGCCGCCACCAGGAGCCGCCCCGTCTGCCCGCGCCCCTGGGTGGGGCCCGGGCGGGATAGGCACGTCCTGGCGGCGTTGGGAGGCCGGCATGGGTGTAGCCCGAGCTGGGACCGCAGCCAGGGCCAGCAGCGGACCCGCTGGGGCGGGAGTGAGCGGGGCACAGCCCGGTGGGCGGGGCGGGGCGGGGCCTGAGGCGGGGCGCGGGTCCGAGGGGGGTGGGGGGAAAGCGGGGCGCGGGGGTGAGACGGGGGCGGGGCAAAGCTCGGGTGTCCGGGGCGGGGCCGAGGCGTGGGGCGGAGCCTGACCGGGAGCGGGTAGGGGCGGCGGCGGAGCCGGGCGGGCCGGGCCGGGCGGGGCGGGGTGGGACGGAGTCAGGGTATCCGGGACGGGGCCAGGGCGCGGGCCCAGGGAGCGACGGGACGGCCGGGGCCGTGTCAGAGGCGGGGCCGGGGCGGGGGCGGAGCCGAGCGGGGCGGGGACAGGGCAGGGCTGGGGCGGGGCCGGGGCAGAGCCGGGTGGGGCGGAGCCGGGGTGGGGCGGGGCCGGGGCGCGGCCGGCGTGCGGGGCGCGGGCGCGGGCGCGGGCGCGGGCTCGGCCCACCCCGGCGAAGCGCCGTTCGGGCTCGGGTCCCGGGAGGCGGCTCCTGGGGGCGGGCCGGCTCCACCCCCGCGCTGCGCCCGCGCCGCCGACCCCGCGGCCCGAGCAGATCCCGGCGGCGGCCCGGCGGCGCGGCGGGTTCCCGGGTGCGGGCGGCGCTGCGGAGGCGGCGGCTGTGTCAACCGCGCGATGGCGGCCCCGGAGCCGGCGCCGAGGCGCGGCCGGGAGCGGGAGCGGGAGGACGAGAGCGAGGACGAGAGCGACATCCTGGAAGAGAGCCCGTGCGGCCGCTGGCAGAAGCGGCGCGAGCAGGTGGGCGCGGGCCGCGGGGCGGGGAGGCCAGGCCCGGGGCTCCCGGGGCCTGTGCGCGGCCCCTCTCCCGGGCGAGACACGCGCCCTCCGTGGGCCGCGCCTCGGGCCTCTGGGCGCAGTGGCCGGCCCCGGGCAGCCCCTGAAACCTGAGCCTGAGCCCCTGAGCCCTCGCCCCGACGCCCTCCCTGGCCCCCCTGCATCCCGCCGCGGCCCACGGCGAGCCGGCGAGCCGGGGCCTGCTGGGCAAGAAAGCCCCACCCTCTGCACGCATGAGCCAACAGGCACCTGCAACTCCCCCGGCCAGGTGAACCAGGGCAACATGCCGGGGGTCCAGAGCACCTTCCTGGCCATGGACACGGAGGAGGGGGTGGAGGTAGTGTGGAACGAGCTGCACTTCGGAGACAGGAAGGCCTTCGCTGCCCATGAGGTGAGGCCAGCCGCTGCCCCACCCTGCTGTTCCGTCCCCTCCGTTCCCTCTTGACCTGCCACCCCCCTGCAGGAGAAGATCCAGACCATGTTCGAGCAGCTGGTGCTGGTGGATCACCCCAACATTGTCAAGCTGCACAAGTACTGGCTGGACGCCTCAGAGGCACGCGCCCGGGTGAGCTGGGCAGAGGAGGCAGAGGCCAGGGTGGGCAGGGAGGTGTCCCTTGCCACGGGTCAGGTCTCCAACCCAGCTGCCCACAGGTCATCTTCATCACCGAGTACGTGTCCTCAGGGAGCCTCAAGCAGTTCCTCAAAAAGACTAAGAAAAACCACAAGGCCATGAATGCCCGGGTACGGGGCTCGGGGCTGGGGAGTGGGATAGAGATGCTGCGCGAGCACCCAGGCAGCTTGGGACAGAACCCAGATTGCAGTACGGGGCGCAGGGTTGGCACGGCAGGCCTCCTGCCCCCTCTCACCCGCTGCCCCTATGTGCTGCCAGGCCTGGAAGCGCTGGTGCACGCAGATCCTGTCTGCGCTCAGGTGAGGACTGCGCCCGGGGGCATGCCCCGCATCCCACAGCCCCTCACTGTGCCCCCACCCCCTGCTCCTGGCTCCTGCCTGCCCACACCCCCTCCCCGTGCCCCCTCCTGGAGCCCCTTCCCTGCACCCCCTCCCTATGCCACCCTTCCTGAGCCCCAGCTCCCTGTGCCCCACCTCCCCACGCCCCCTCCCTGCGCCCAGCTTTCTGTGCCCATTCCCATGCCCCTGCCCACCTGCCTCCCTGCACCCTGCCTCCCTACACCCCGGCTCCTGCCTCCTTGCACCCACCTTCCCAAGCCCTGACCCAGACTTCTGCCTTCAGCTTTCTGCACGCCTGCAGCCCCCCCATCATCCACGGGAACCTGACCAGTGACACCATCTTTATCCAACACAACGGCCTCATCAAGATCGGCTCTGGTGCTGGGGGGTCGGGGGGGGCTGGGAGGGACACTGGAGCCCTGCTGGGGAGCCCCAGGCCCTCGCCTGACTAAGCTCTTCCTCCCGCAGTGTGGCACCGCATCTTCTCCAATGGTACGTAGGTGCCATGGGGGGGGGCGGGGCAGGGGTTCCCCTCAGCCCGCTCAGCACTCAGCAGGTTGTCTCCACAGCACTTCCCGACGACCTCCGGAGCCCCATCCTGGCAGAGCAGGAGGAGCAGCGGAACCTGCACTTCTTCCCTCCAGAATACGGCGGTGAGTAGGGGTGGCCCAGGCCTTGCCCTCCCACCCATCCCTACCCCCATGCACCTTCCCACACACTCCTCTCTTTCAGAGGTGGCTGACAGGACCGCCGTGGACATCTTCTCCTTTGGAATGTGTGCTCTGGAGGTAGGGCCCCAGGGCCTGCACCCCAGGGGGTACCCCTGCACTTCTAGCTCTTTCCACCTGACCCTGTCCTGCTGCCCAGATGGCCGTCCTGGAGATCCAAGCTAACGGGGACACGCGAGTCACTGAAGAGGCCATCGCTCGAGCCAGGCACTCGCTGAGTGATGCCAATATGAGGGTGAGCACGTGCGCTGGCCCTGGCTTCCCCCATTCCTCCCTGCCAAAGTGCTCCCAGGGAGGTGCCCGGTCCATCCAGGCACCACTATCCAGCCCATCTCATGGACAAAGAAACTGAGGCTCCGAGGTGCCAGCTACTTTGGACTTTGGTAGGGCTTGGAGGGAGCCGTGGCAGCTGTGCTGGACCCGTGCCGCCAGGCTGCATTCCAGGGGTGGGCCAGTGTCAGGGTGGCGGGTAAGTGGAGGGAGAGCCGGCCCAGGACCCCCGGCTCCTCCACAGTCGGCAGAGGGGCAGTAGTCTGGGATGCGGCCTCAGCATGCAGAGTGGGCCTGGGGTTCAGGCTGGCAGGTGCCCCCTGTGCTCCTTGGGGCTTTTGAGAGAGGAGTTCTGGGCCTAGGGCCTGCCTGTCCCATGAGGAGCAGGGTCAGACTCCTCACACTGCGGGGTCAGAGCAAAGACCCCCCGCGCCTCTGCCCTCTGACCCCAGGAGTTCATCCTGTCCTGCCTGGCCCGGGATCCCGCACACCGACCCTCTGCCCACAACCTCCTGTTCCACCGGGTGCTGTTTGAGGTGCATTCGCTGAAGCTTCTGGCCGCCCACTGCTTCATCCAGCACCAGTGTAAGGGCAACGGCGGGACGGCTGTGGAGGGCTGCCACCCCCACGTCCTTCCCCTGACCTCCTCATGGCCCACAGACCTCATGCCCGAGAACGTGGTGGAGGAGAAGACCAAGGCCATGGACCTGCATGCCGTCCTGGCAGAGATCCCACGGCCCCCACGGCCCCCGCTGCAGTGGCGGTGAGTAGCCCTTCCGGCCTCCCCGGGGCCCGTCCTTCCTGCCGGGGCTCCCCTCACCTCTCTGCTTTCCTGGGTCAGGTACTCGGAGGTGTCCTTCCTAGAGCTGGACAAGTTCCTGGAGGATGTCAGGTGAGCATGGCGTGAGCGTGGGGAGTGGGCAGCAGCACACCTGAGCCCCCAGCCACCCCTGGTGTGTCCCTAGAAACGGGATCTACCCCCTGATGAACTTTGCTGACGCTCGGCCCCTGGGGCTGCCCCGGGTGCTGGCCCCACCGCCAGAGGAGGCCCAGAAAGCCAAAACCCCGACACCGGAGCCCTTTGACTCAGAGACCAGGAAGGTGAGCCCCATACCCGCAGTGCGAGCTGCACCCCAGCTGCTCCCTCCCAGTGCGCTGCTCGGCTCGCGTCCTCCAGCTGCCAGCCGCTGGGTCTCTGTGTGGGTCCTCAGCAGGACAGTGGGAAGCCTGTTTCCCACACACCGGGATTGGGCTCCTGCCCTGGTATCCCTTGGGCATCAGGCAACGTCCTGGCAGGGCTCCATTTCCTTCCCGCTCTGCCCCTCAGCACCGGGAGCTACCCGCTGGCCTCCTTCCTCCTGCCCCCTTCCACAGGGCAGCCGGAGGCTGTTACCCACAGGGAAGCTCCCCCAGGACGCTCTGCCCCCTGCCCCCCCATCCTTCTGCCCTATCACATCCCTGCCATTCCCCTTCCCACAGCCCCTCTCTGTCTAGGTTGATCAGTGCCCTGGGAAGCATCCCTGGCTTACATTCTCGGCTCCCCTGGAGAGCTGCCAGTTTCCCAGTTCCCCCTGTCTCTCTGGCCCTTGGAGGCGGCATCTGCCTAGTGGCCGAGTCCCAGCCTTTGGGGGTGGCCTCAGCCTGCTGCCACTCCACCCCTACCACAGGTGATCCACATGCAGTGTAACCTGGAGAGAAGCGAGGACAAGGCGCGCTGGCATGTGAGTGGGGCGGGGCCGGGGAGACGGGAGGTGTCCCCCACTACCGTGGGCTTCAGAGCTGACCTCGCCTTCTGCCCACCCAGCTCACTCTGCTCCTAGTGCTGGAGGACCGGCTGCACCGACAGCTCACTTACGATCTGCTTCCAAGTAGGCAGGAGGGGTGGGGGGAGGGGTGGGGGAGGGGGAGGGTCTAGATGGAGAGTCCCCCTGCCCCCCCCAATCCTCCCCCCCACCACCACCCCCCCCCCCCCCCCCCCGCCGCATGGTAGGTGGGGCTCTCGCGGTGATGGACTGGCCCTGGGCAGAGTGGGCGTGGTCCTGGGTGTGGTGGGCCCAGCCCTAGGAGGTGTGCCCAGTGGCCCTGGGCAGGGATTCTGCCACTTGGCCCTAGTCTCCTCGTCCTTGTCTCAGCGGACAGCGCCCCGGACCTGGCTGCTGAGCTCGTCCACTACGGCTTCCTCCATGAGGTGTGTGAGCAGGCCCAGGGAGCAGGGGGCAGGTGGACCTCATTCTGCTGGCCTTTCACACCTCTCCCCACCCCTTTGCAGGACGACCGGACAAAGTTGGCCACTTTCCTGGAGAGCACCTTCCTCAAGTACCGGGGTGCTCAGCCCTGACCACACCTCCCCACCCCTAGTGGGCAGTCCTAGCCACCCACTGGGATGCTTTGTTTTGGCACAGGGCAGGGTTGGGGGGACAGGGGCTGCCTTCTGCCTGCAAGCCTGGGATAAGCTAGTGAGGGAGCTCTGCCTTCTGAAGCTTCCAGGGAGGAGAGCCAGGGAGGGCTATGGGGGCGGGCAGACAAAACAAGTAAGCCTGTAAAATCACTTTAGACACCCCCTGTCCTAGTACGGGGTTTCGGGCCAGCTTGGACCCCTCCCAGGGCCTCTACTTCCCAGGCGAGACCTTCCCCACCCACCTCAAACGGTTCGGACGGCGACTGATCCCTGAGTGAGGGGCTGCCCTGCTGGGCGCCTCCCCCTAAGGAGCCTCTGCTTGGACAGATGTCAGCCCCCAGGAGGTGCTCCGTCCCCAGTTGGTACCACAAACCCCATCCCCATCCCCTGCAAGCCAGTGGTGAAGTGCCCACAGTGCTGAGCAGGGTTTGGCCAGCCGAAGCCACAGACCAGATGTGCAGAAACCCATGAAGTTCGAGTGTCAGCCCACGTGACTCCTGCACCCCCGTCACCGTTGGCCGTGAGCCCCTCTCTGACTTTTCCCAGTCCTGGGACTGGGCCCTGGGCTCAGTCCCCTTCAGGAGCTGCCTCCTCTCCTGCACCCCAGTCTGGCCTGGGCTCAGGCTCCCCACTGGGGCTGGCCACTCTGAGCTGCCTATCCCCAGTGGTTCTCCTCAACCACCTCCACTTCGTTTGCAAAATCGCTGAACACTTCCAAGCCTTTTTAGTTGCATGTGTAAATTTAGAGCATTTGGGTTTCTTTGTGAGCACGTCCAGCAAAGCTCTTGGCGCTTTAGTTTGTCTGTTTCTCTGAAGAGGTGTACTTCAAGCTCTGACGACATCAACTCATTCTCACACTTTAGCGAGTCTGGCACAGGCCTCACCAGACCAAAAATCCTGCTGGTGGGGGGGCTTTGTTCCTCTTTGGAGAGGCCGACAGATTTGGTACATATGTTGTGGTAGGCGGGCAGGAGCCCCATTTTCTAAGGCTGTTCTCAGTCTTGGCTCACAGCCCTCAAGACCTGCATCAATAGGTTGAGTCTCCCTCCTGAATGTCTGTGTGGTTTTGTGTGCCCAGATAGCATCCTGGGGTCAGGCTGACTATCAGGAAAATCTCTTCTCGAGCTCCTTAACCATCTGCAAAACACTTTTGCCATGTAAAGTGACAGTGACAGATTTGGGGACACAGACATCGCTCCACTTCTCACCTCACCAGAACAAACAAGCAAGGCCTATCAAATCACTTTAACATGCAGACTTCCTGTAATGCCTGTTACCTTATACTTCCAACACTACGGCCTGACTCCAGTGCTCACGCCTTCCGAGTAAGATTACAAGTCTGGAGGAACGCACACATTCCAGCTGGAAGTCCTTTTGCTCAGATGTCTGCTTCATCTGAAACGGTTCGAGTGGAAAATGCACCAGAGGTTGTGATTAAACTGAACTTGAACGTGTCAGTCCTCCCGCAGCTTCATTTAGTCTTGCCTCTGTTGAGGTTTTAACTTGGATCTCTGCAAAGTTCAGTATATAAATGTATTTGCTTTATACATATGCATACTACTTAAAGAGCGGAAGGAGGCATAGAGAAAGTACTGGAGTGAAGTTGCTTGCCTTGCACTTGTTCAACCTGGGTTTGATCCTTGGCACCGCATGTGGTCCCCCAATCCCCACCAGCAGTGATCCCTGAGCACAGAGCCAGGAGTAAGGTCTGAGCACAGCCAGGCATAGCTCCCTGAAAAATGGAATGGGAGGGGGGTGTAGAGAGACAGCTCAAAGGGCTAGAATACACTTGATGTGTGGGAGAGCAGAGGCTGACTTCCATGGTCCCTTGAGCACTGCCAGAAGCAACGGCTGGGCACGGAAACAGGTAGCCCTAACACCACTGTGTTGGTTCAAACCTTCACCACTGTGAAGGAAAAAAACAGTGGAATGTGCTTTTGAAGCCAATAATAAATGAATAATGCATGCAGCCTGCTCTCGTTCTCAAATTCAATTCTCTTAGCGTTTCTCCAGGCTTTGAAAAATCCATTTCACAAAACCACACACATCTGTACTGGTTTATTGTTTGGTTTTGGTCATGGTTTTTTGTTGTTTCTTTGTTGTTGTTGTTGTTGTCTTTAGATGTTTCCTGATGGTGACCTCAATTCTCAGCCTCTGTCCTCTGTGTGGCAGAAATATTACTGCCAGTGATGCACAGAATTAAAAGTTCACCAGCACTGGGCTCAGCACAGAATGAGGTGCCCTCAGATCATCTGTTTATTTGCCCTGGAGTTAATAATTGCCTTTTGTTTGTTGTTTCTTCCATTGCCCCTGAAGGTCTCATTGCTTTGTCCTGCGCGAGCTCCCCTGCCATGCTTGGGTTCATTGTGCTGACCGCTGACCCCCTCTTTCCCAGGAGCCCACTGTGCTAGCTCTCACTGCCTACCTTTGCTTGTTTTGGAGTCTTTCGCCCTACTGTCAACATAGACCCATTTTTTTTTACATGAATAGAAAAGATCTTTATTCTGTCAGGGTCACGTGGACTCAGAACTTCTGGAACTGCCCATGGTGCCTGCGGCCTTGGTCACCTGGAGCACATTGAATGGCACAGTCTCGCTGAGTGGCCAATAGTTGCCCAGAGCGACAAGGTTGCCAATGTGCACATCACCGAAGCAGAACTGGTGCACAGGCATGTTCTTGAACCACTTCTTTTACTTCCCATCTTACACTTTATATAAGCACCGTAGTTTACAAAGTTGTTCATGATGATTTATTACAGACATTCAATATTCCGACACCAATCCCACCACCATTATTTCCAATTTTTTCATCCACCCCTTAAGCCTGCCCCCATAGCAAGCCCTCAATAATTTATTTTATATTGCTTGTTATAAAAAATTTACTAAGGGGGCTGGAGCAATAGCACAGCGGGTAGGGAGTTTGCCTTGCACATGGCTGATCCAGGTTCAATTCCCAGCATCCCATAGGGTCCCCCAAGCACCGCCAGAGTGATTCCTGAGTGCAGAGCCAGGAGTAACCCCTGTGTATCGCCAGGTATGACCAAAAAAGAAAAAAAATTATCTAAAAGAATGATCAGAAAATACTTCCTTCGAAGAAAGTGAAGATTGTTCTGTTCACCATGGAGCCATTAAACCCTTTTAGAAGAGATTGCTAAGATGTTGTTATAGGTTAAGCCTTCTGTGTTTGTATTTTGTTGAGATTGGTAGCCTTCTACATTACATCTCATCCAATCAGGTGTGCTATTCCTGGTTTATCGGTGTTGTGTGAGATACCGTGCGGCCACTAATGCAACAGGAAGTTCCCCAATTATTTTTTCTTTTTGGGTCACACCTGGCAACCTCAGGTGTTACTCTTGGCTTTGCATTCAGAAATTACTCCTGACAGTACTCAGTGGAACATATGGGATTCTGGGGATTGAACCTGGGTTGGCTGCATGCAAGGCAAATGCCCTACTCGATGTACTATCACTCCAGTCCCAACCCCAAAATTTTAAAGGGGTGATACAGCTGGAGTTAATTTTTTTTTGTTTTTTTTGGGTCACACCCAGAAATGCACAGGGGTTACTCCTGGCTTTGCACTCAGGAATTACTCCTGGCGGTGCTCAGGGGACCATATGGGATGCTGGGAATTGAACCCTGGTTGGCTGCGTGCAGGGCAAACGCCCTACCCGCTGTGCTATTGCTCCAGCCCCTGGAGTTAATTTTTTAACGATGATGGCTTTGGGGCATGTGTATGATTGCCAGGACTTCTAGAAGTTCAGGGAAATAGTGGGGAGGTAGCCCATCCCTAACTCCATAAAAGCCTGGAGATTTCAGTGACACACCCGCATACCTGAGCTTTTCAACAGATTAATTTCTGGATGAGGCTCCTCCTGAGCAGAGGAGTCTGGCAGAGAACATGACAGTGATTGTGGAGTGTGGAGATTTTCAGCTGCCAGGGCTTGAGGCACTTCTTGAACCAGTTATACTTCTAGATATACTTCAAGATGTGGTGGAGGTAGTCCTGGCAGACAGCAGTGGTCTTCTGCATCTTCATCTTGGTCACCGTGCCAGACAGGATCTGCTGAGATGGAGACATTACCCATGAAAAGGTAGATGCCCTCAGTGGCTACTCCTTTGAGGTCTGGAAGCCCAGACCGATGTTCTTGTAATGACAGTGTCTCCTAGCTGATTTTTCCCATCAGGATCCTCTTATTTTGGAAGATGGTCAGCTGCTTTTGGTTGGAGCATTCTGTCTGAACATCTGCCATCTTCACATCTTCCTGGAAAAAGCTGGACCCACATTCTTGAACCCTTTTCTCCTTTCTGTGTTCTTCACTCACGCTCTATTGACCTCACAACAAACCTCTTCCAAGTTTCCTGAGAAAGGATGTGTGGGAAGCAATGGAGTTTGGCCCGCACTTATGCTCCTCACACCTGCCTGTTAGTGTGAGTAAGTACAAAGCATGGCCAGGTTGGCAGTTTCTCCTCGTGATCCTAAGATCAGCGGAAAACATTATTTTCTAGACCTAAGAACTCCCACTGCTTTCTGAATTCTGAGCTGTGATCTCTTGATCATCTCAGAATTTTGGAAATACTCAAGACTGTGTCTTTTTGTGTACGGGGAAGATCCCTAGTAGTGCTAGGGAGTCCAGGGCCATTGCCCGCAGTACTTGTCCTGGTAGTGCTGGGACTAATGGTTAGGGGCTCAGGCCTCAGGATACAGAACTGCTTGGGAGTCAGTAGGGTTACTTGGGGGACATGTGCTCAGTGGCTCAGTGCTATCCCTTTGTCCCATCTTTCTGGTCTCTCCACAATGCACTGAGAGGTACCTATTTTATCACTGATTCTTCAGTGCTCCAGAGCCTCAGTTTTAGGCAATTTCCTGTCCCTTCATCGTTCCTGGTAGTTGACTGCTGCCCACTTTGGGACAAGTAATTGGGCTTATCTTTTGAGAGGGGCAGTCAATTGTGGTTATGGGTCAAGGGCCCAGGGGTCATGTTGCTGGACCCCTCTGGTTGGTATTGGTCTGTGTCTCCATATCTTCCTCAGCAAAGAAGGGCTAAGCTGTGCCCCCTCCATGGAAATGTGGTAGGGACCACAATACAGAAGGGCTAAACTACAGAGAAGAAAGTGCAGAGAAAAGAGGATTGTGCCTACCACAAAGCTCTCTGGATACTGCACCGTCCACCAAGGTGACAGTTCAGTTTCCCACCTAGATGGGGGTGGTGCAAAGGCCAGCGCACCCCCAGGCTCTCACCTCCTTGCTTTCTGTTTCCGCCTCTCAGCTTGTCTGTGTTTGAGTTTCCAGGAGAAAAACGTGGGCACACGTGGGGCTCGAGCATTCAGTGGCCAAAATCCACCTCCCCAGGTCAGTCAATGGCAATGGATGGATGAAGGCCTGGGGAACAGAGAAACAGGAACTTGAACCCCAGGCTCATTCATGATCATGATCATCCTGTTCGTTGATTGCCTCAAGCAGGCACCAGTAACGTCTCCTTCATCCTAGCCCTGAGATTTTAAAGTGCCATATTCAAGGTTAGGAGAATGAGACCCATCATTGTTACTGGTATTTGGCATATTGGGTATGCCACGGGGAGTTTGCCGGATTCTGCCATGTGGGCAGATTACATTCGGTAGCCTGCCAGGTTGTCCAAAGCAGAGTTCAATCATCCTAGTCTCTCATAGACCTCTCTTTCTTGATCTCTTCTTTCTCATCTTGTAGTCTCAGAGTCTTCTACTTCCAGTCATCGTTGTCATCTAGTCCTCCTACTCCTCAAAGTCCCAAAGTTTCAGTTCTCATCCTCCTTCTAGTAGTCAACGTTCTAGTTCTCAAAGACTTCAAAGTCCCAAAGTCTCAAAGTCTCATCTCCTAGTCTTCAAGGTCTAGTCATTGACATTCTAGTCCTCAACCTCTAGTCTCCTTACAGCATAGTTCTATAGAAATCATGAAGGGTGGGGTTGAACATTGTCATAACAACAAACATTTTCTATAGAAATCATGAAAGGTGGGGCTGAACATTGTCATAACAACAAACAGAAGTAAAACCACTCCTTCAGGAGATTAACTCAAGTACAAGATCTCATCTGAGGGTTCAGAAGATTACTAGGAGATTCCCTCAAGCATGGGATTTCATCCAGGGTGTATTGCTTTCTCCTTTCCTCAGCTATTAATCCATTCAAACAATCATAGTAAGTTTACTTCTCATAATATTTCTAGCAATGTCATTTTGTATAAACACAGTAAGAGATATATTAAGCTTAAAGGTTGGCTCTTTCTGGGGACATCTCCCTATATATTCCAGACCACAGTCCTTAAGCTAGGTTAGTCTTTCCTAATCCCAGCAGGGTCCTTATTCAGTTACTTCTTTTTGGGTCATGACAGAATTTGTTCCATGACCGTGCTCTTAAATTATACTTATGGCGCTTAGCTGGTCTTCTTTCAATGCCACGGTAGCTTACAGCTTGCCCTGGGTCCATCCAGTCCCTTTGTCACGACCCTGCTCTTGGAGTGCTAGGAACTAAGGGCAACTGAGGCTTAAGTCAAGTAAATATGGATGCCCAGGAGTAAATATTATTTTGGAGTCGAGTAACTCCCATGTTGCAAAACATAGCACCATCTTCCTGTGTCTACACAAAAAAGCACATTGCTAAACCATGCAAATGACATGAAAGAGAAAAGTACTTTTAGGATTATTAGTGCTTGATGGAATTGGGTGTGCCTCTGGGGCACTGTTGTGGGAGTAACTCAATAAACCTAAACTCCCTGTGGGAGGAGCAAGGACAACCTAATGTTATCCAACAGCTGTATTGGATTGACTGTTTATTTTCCTCTCATTTTTTCATTTGTAAATGTTCTTTCTCTAGTTTCCTTGATGTTATTTATTTTAGGGACCTCCCAAGCAGTGCTCAGGGAAGCCTAGGGCACCTCCCAGCTATGCTGGTCTGGTAATGAGGGCCTGAAGATTTGGTGCTCAGCCAGGTGGTGCCG